AATTATGCAAAATATGCTTGAAGAAAAGTGAATACGTATGAGAATGGCATCTCCATGGCAACTACCCTCTTGCTTACGTTATATTTGCTAGATATCCCAAAACTGTTATAACTGTAGTATAATGTTTCTGATTATTTGTAATAAAAGTTTTATATTCTAAATATCAGAAAGAAAGGGTAGTGACAACAATATTGGTTAGGATTTGCTTGCAATGAGTGTATTACTGTAGGACCCCTTGATCATATTCTATACTTGTTTCAATATTGTTTATGTCACGAATAAAAACCCATAACAAAGCATATATTGTGATGTGGAATAATATTTTATTCCTAAACATGTTCAAAAAAACCCAGAGATCGTCATAAATCTCTTCAAAACTGATTGTGGGACATATTCTCATGACCACTCACCTTGATCTTCATTTAAACAACAACACTATTTCATGAATATAGACATTTAAATCATCAAGTGGCATATATTATATATTCACACGGCTTGTTAAATTATTACACTCAGACACGATTTTGTTTGTATACACCCAACGTGTATATGATTGTCGAGAATAGTATCGACAATCATTAGGATTATGGCCGATTCGACCTGATATAGTCATGGATTAAGTAAAAATTACCAGATATATAAAAGAATACTAGTATAAATGAGGTAGATTTCAATATCTACTGAAACATATTTTAGTAAAAACCAAAGAACCACAATTCATTCTCAATAATTGATAACAACCTGCGTTTGAACCAAATATGCTGCTAATGATACTTTTCGAAGTGTAACTGATTATTCATTTTTATTTGTACATAGTTTATATAACGTCAAACGCTTAGTAATCTTCATATGCGGTACTTGATCTTTAGTTTACATCTCATCTTGACAATTTACATCACCATTTTTTTTGTTATTACTTAGTCATGACACAAATTAATAACTGTGTTTTTCCTATCACTTATATTTCAACAATGATTATTCTTCACTCTTTTGTTGTTCCTTATCATATTGGTCAAAAGATATAACATCTTCCAACTTTCTATTTCTCAAAAATACAGATGCAATTAACATAGGAACTAAAAGACATAAGGCAACGATATTCAAAATCTTCTCAACGTATTTGTAGGCAACTACGACTTCTTGCCTCTCTATTGTATTCCATGTATATCGCTTGATGAATTTAGTTGGTGAGCTATAGGCATATGCTGCCAAAGTAGAGTTGGTTGTAATACGCTTGTTAATCTCTCCAGGTAAAACATTGGACCATATGGAACCAGCTACAGCTGAACCAAACGCACTACCAATACTGGCCACGCTTAAAAATAATGAAGTCGCAACCCCCATCATTTCATGAGTATAAGCAGATGCTTGGATTGATGCTCTCACTGGAAACTTTATAAACCCATTACCGAATCCAAGAACACAGATTGCAGCGATGATACCAACTTTAGCATCAAGGCCACCCGTATATTTCTCAAGTAAGCCAAAGCCAATAAACCAAACACTAATACCAAATACAATTATTTCCTTCGTTCTTCTTATCCTTGCTACCACAAAGCCAAAACAGAAAGCAGTTATAACACCTACAAATGAGTATAGTTTGGTTATTCTAGCTGTAGTTGATTTAGTTTGGTTGACGGCAACATAAAGCACAGTAATCATGTAAGTGCTTTGCATATAATAAGCAAATTCTTGGAATAAAGAAATTATTAGAGGAGCCCAAATACCCCTGTCTTTGACGACATTCCATGGTGTTAAAGGATATCTAGAAAATTTAAGTTCCCAAATAACATATAATGGGATGGCCAAAACCCAGCCCAATATTTCCGGAACAATTATTGAAGCACTCTTCCATTTGTCGTTTACACCACCTGCCAAAGTAAAAGGGATAAGGATCATACCGAAAATGGCAACCAATAGCACAAGACCAACAATATCTAGTTTCCAGAAGAATACGTCAATACAAAATTGAGACCATGTCATATTTTGAGGTTTCTTAAATGCGATCCAGATATCTTCATGGTTCTTTTTGGCCAAGTATTTCATGTGAATTATACAACACAATAGAGGAATACATGATATTGGGAAGATAATCGCCCACATACCGATACCCCATGACCATTTTTCATTCATCGATCCTGCAATATTTCCACTAATCCATGTAGTGATAACGTTAGGTAAGACTTGAGCAGCTGCTGCAGTGACTCTCCAGTTTAAGTTTGAAAAATCAGCAACGTATAATTCAGAGACCATGACAATACCAGAATGACCGATAGCAAAGATTATAGCACCTGCCGCATACCTCGATACATCATATGCCTGTGATTCAATAATAGTACCTAAAACATATAGCACTATAGAGATAAGAAGAATTGTAGTTCTTCCAAACATATCAGCAGATCTTGCAAACCAAATTTGTGCAGCAGCAGATACAACTTTTTTAATACATGTTACTGTTGACAATAAAGAATGTTGCGAATATGAAGAAGTAGCTAATGTCTGATATGTTGACCTGACAGAATTATCTAAACCGTAAGCAAATGCAATCAAAAATAACGAAAAGAATATAAGCACTCTTTTAAACGGGTGAGAGTAATACTTACAGTAGATTTCGGCATTATGAACACCAGCTTTCTCGATGGCTGGGATTTCATTTTCACTGGAGTCAATCCCACTGTGGATGGAAGTTGAGTATGTGGATATGCTCCCCTTCGATTCCATCTTTTCATTGGAAATAGAGTGCAGATTGTTCGAGTCCACAGGCACCACTTCAGCAACTCTTTTCAATTTCATTATTGATTTAGTCTTAGATTACTTCAGACAATTCTAAAAATTTAAATTGAAGAAACAAACCTATCGTAAATATATCTCAAAGGTAGAAGATGTCATGGTTTTTATACATATATGAAGTAAGATATATCACTCTTTTTATTATTTTTCAGTTAAACTCATCTCATCTCTGTTCAAAACATTCGGAAGATCTAGTTATTTGCGATGCCCTGATGAAAATAGGTATAGTTTAGGTTAATTTCTAAACATCGAGAAAAACAAAAGTGCACCTTATTGTTCACCAAAGTCGCAACCTGTACTATATATCACTTCTTTCCTTTTTGCATTTTCTTTTTTGAATACCAAACGTTAGAATATCCAACAGGTAAAATACCAGAGTAACTGTTCTGACATCTGACCGTCATAATTCTTTTCTTAGTTATTAGTTAAGTTATATAGTAGTCAACTTTCTTAGTATGTCTTCATCAAAGTTTATGAGGTGTATATTTATGTTATTGCACCCAGGTTCCTAATTCTTATGTGAGCCGTTGCCCATACAACCAGTAGCATCCTACGGCTTTCAAATTTGTTTTAGCGATGCCGTTCACGCTTTATTAACGTCAACTGGCTTAGGGGCTTACTTTTCCTACGAGGAAGTCTATCGAAAAGAGAGCTATACGGTAAGTTAGGCACAGACATCTAACATAAGAACAATAGAGATAACCACGTATGGTATTTGGTAAAAATTAGTAGTATATCGATAAAACTTTAATTTGCAGCTGTCGTTTGCACAATTTCGTTTCTTCAACGATTTGTAGTGTTTGTTGTTCGAGGGATACGATATGTAATTTTTTACTCGGCAAAAAGTACCCGTGGGGCCATGCTTGTTAAGCATTGAACATAAGTAACGAAGGCACTATTGCAACTCTCACAACAGAACAGTGAAAGTATCTCTCAATTCTGCCACCTTTCTTTCTCGTTTGAACATATTTGTTTAGAAGGGTATGTGTTACAATGCAGGAGTTTGTTTGTTTTTTCTTGGCAATTATTGCTGAAGTCATCATATGTAAAAGTTCCTAGACATTACTCAGCCTACATTATAAATGCACCAGATTATGGGGAACAAAGAATTTGAATAACTGTGTTTCAAAATTCGAATATATATTTATTTGTGTTGGCCTATTTAGTATAACAACGATGCATAATTGGAAGTATCAAAACTTCGTGAAGGTTGTATTTACTGAGTTTAGGACATTAAGTTCTTGCCTTAAAACCATGCAAATGAAAACGAAAGGAATATTATGACCTTACCGACAGTAATGTCATTTATAGTACCGGCGTTGGAATTAATCATTAACCTAGAGGGGCTATTACCGTTATGCACTTCGCTGCCATAAATACTATTATTTGGGCTATCTGGAGTAGCCAATATTACGTTCGAGGTGTATATTGTGTATACCGAAGTTTTAGTACTATTTGTTGAAGATGTATCTGTGGTTATTTTAAAAGCATCCGTTATGAAAATATTATCTTTTGTGTCTGTTTTCGGTATGATCACATTGCTATTTACTGATTCTTTTCCATTATCTAATGATTCGATGGTGATTGTAAAAATAGTACCAGATTTCGATTCTCTTGGGACAGAAGTGAGTAAAGAAGGTGTTTTACTGTATTTTGTTTCCCACCCAGTGAAGGATACCTTACTGGAGGTTAGATGTTCAGAGTGTGACGTTGTCATTTGTAATGTTAACGATGAGCTTTTAAATGGTGATGGGACTTCAGTGATACTCTGGAGTACTGTTTCAGTTTGATCAGACTTTAGTCTAGAAGTTGTACTTGTCTTTCCATTGGTAATTTCAGAAACAGACTCTTCAACGGAAGAAAACCTAGAGTCTGTTATGTTAGTCTCTTGCACATTGGTACTGTGAATATTAGTTGTATATGTAGGTTTGTCTGATATAATAATGTTGGAAGAAAATATGGTGTTTAAATTTGAGACAGTCGAAGTTTTAGTAGTCAGATTTAAAGTTGTGGAAGAGTCTATAGATGGTAATGGCAATGAAATTGTCTTATAAGATGATATGACAGTTAAATTTGATGAAGGTTCATGTATCATGTAAGAAGTGGATGCCTTTATTATAGACGTATATGGATCAGAGAAGGAACTAATTTTATTTGATAATGTCACAGATCCAGATGGTTGGTCATAAGAACTGGAATACATTGTTGAAGTAACAAAGTTTGAATCTAATGACGATTCTGAAGATGATATCACTGACGGTGTCAATAAATTTGAAGGACTTGACAGATGACCAAACAATACTGAGGAGTCAGACCCTGAGGAATGTATTGAAGATGATACGAAAAATATTGATGACTCTGAAGATACCATAGAAGATGACATATCTAAGGATGTCATGGATGATGGGTGATCTGAGGTTATAACACATGAAGGAAGACTGGATGAAATGATAGGTGTGGGTGAGTATGACGATACATTATGTTCAGTAGATTTCAAAGACATTATGGATAACGAACGTTCATATGATGTAGTAGGTAATATCATATCAGATGACACAATTGTTGAAAAAAGATCTGATATCGATATTAATGATGATAAATCTGAATAAATAGTCGATGAAGGTTGAATTGGACTTGGAGTACGTGATGATAGAACAGAAAATGAACTTGAAAATAGTGGATCAAAAGAAGTAGCAGATAATTTGGGATCAGAGAATATTGTTGAAGATGATACAATTGAAGAACTGATAGAAGATGAATCAGAAATAGTATTAGACAAATGTGGATCCGATGAAACAATTACTGATTGCAATTTTGAAGATAGACCTAAAGATGAAAACAGGGATGATTCGGAGGAAGAAGGAATACTGGAAGATATCATAGATGATGATATGTCTGATGGCAAGTCCATTGATGACATTGTTACAGACATCAATGGATCAGAAGAAATTATGGACAACCCTGAATTAGATAATGATGCAGACGAGGTCATGGATAGCTGGGGGTCAGAAGAAAATTCAGAAAACAAGGGATAAGATGATATTAGTGATTGTGAATTAGATGGTACAGTTGATGAAAGTTTATCAGAAGATAACGAATCTGATAACGGATCTGATGTTTCAGTAGAAGATAAAGTATCATGCGACATGGTTGATGAAGATATAGTGGATGAAGGTGGACCAGGAATTATTATGGATGACGAAAAAGAATCTGATAACTCAAAGCTTCCTGATGAAGTCATAAATGATGATTCAGTTGAGGATATAAAGGGAGATGTAAACGACGAATCAGTTGGTAGTGTAAAAGAGGATAAAGAAGGAGAAATATCTGAAGATGAGCCACAAGTTTCCTGAGTAGCGCATTGTACTTGATTATAATACTTCACAAATCCGTCAAACGTAAAATGAGCAATACCACTTGGATCAATGAAAGAAACTGTTTGGATATTAATGGTCTGTTTATTGAAATACACTATCTTAATAGGATGCGGTACCCCAGCAATCAACTCTAAAACTAATGTTTGTATAGTTGTGTCATCGTATATTTTCAAAGCTTGTACAAACATGGATGAATCATCCTTACAGCAACAAAGTGAGTTACTTTCTGTTATTAAAGTGATCTTTGTTCCATCATCCGTTTGCCCTATCTGGAAGGTATGGTTCCCTGTTTCTTGTGGAACAAACCAGCCTGTATACTCAACAGAATAATTAGAAATCGAAATATTGAAACCGTTTACTTGACCATAGGTTGGTCCATCTGGATTTAGATTATAAAAATGGTATATATTCACATCCTGCACTCCATTTACTGTTCCTAGATATCTATCATCTCTACTATATCCATAGTCAATAAAATCAGAGTCGCTATATTCGTATGCAAAATCTGGATAAATATATTGAAAAAATTTGGCCTGGAAACCATCCTCTGGTTCACTTAATATAGGTTCGCATGTTTCGGATGAATTAACTCCAAAACCCAAAAGAGCTAAATATATTAGCAATAATTGTATAAAATGTGTCACAATTTTCATTTTTAGACTATTTTTATTATTTTATTTTAAGATATAAGTCCAAAAAACGTCTAAATATTTTAAGAACGAAACATCAGAAGAATTTAGTAATATGAAATAAATAAGTTACTTTAATATAACCCTTTTTGAATTTAAATTTCACTACATATATATATATATATATGTATGTATTGTTACATTTCTTGAGTTATTTTTAACAGAATGTTAAAGAGTAACTCCAAGTTTGTACTACGGTTAGTGGGATATTATGACATTTGTACCCCTGATTTTCCATAAAAATTGATGATTTGCAGTTGTATAACTTAGGTCAGAGATCCATTTTGTTAAACTGGAGAAAATGGATACCGTGATATGGGAATAATTGTGAATAATCATGAAATGTCGGTAGAACTGTTCTAACGACATTTTTCAGTGGACGTTATTTTAACAGGGGCTCATTCAAAAGAAGAGGAATCATAGAGTAATAATATCTTAAAGCTTAAAGACAATAATATTCTGAAGAGAAATTCCAATCTAGCATTGGCCTAGGAACTCTTTCTGAAATATTATCTCATCAACTGTACATTATGTGTGAAACAATAACAATAAACTTGTTATAAAAGGGGTCAGGTTCTAATGGAATATGTAAAAGAATAAAAAAGAAATCCTTATCGTAGATCTTTTGTTCATATTTTGGTTCTTCGGATTAAGAGAGAATCACATGTTTCTTTCTATAGCTTGAGTTGCAGAATTCATTAAGACTACATAAATATGTTGAAATGTTTTCCAATAAAACGTTATAACAAAAAAAAGAGAAATTCATCTCCTAGTTAGTCTGTAAAATGTAACTAATTGACTAGACTGATCTTCTCAAATTGTTGATGTGTGGTCTGATGTCTCTAGAAGGAGAAAAGATCTCCGTCAAGGAACTCAGATTTTCCGCATTGTTATTAGTCCGAGAAGACCATGTTCTGTAACAAAACACGCAGGACCACATGAACAAAAAAAGTTTAGGAATATAATAGTCCGAAAACGGTAGAAATGATCCCAAATGAATATATTCAATTGAGTACTTTTCGTTCTCTGAAAACTTGTTAACATTTTGGACCCCAAAATTTTAGCAATATTGTAGTTCCAGTTTGCAAACAACATTGAAGTGGAACTAACTAATAAAATAAGGCTCTTACAGTAGCAGTAAAATAAAACAGAAAGGATATTTTAAATCTTATTAGATCTCATTAGATTGTCATATCAGTTCTATAAAGGCATCTTTATAAGTATACTTGATGGTTATGGCCACTTGTACGATTTAATGAGAATTAAACTGATTTTGCTATAACGAACAAATAGTTCTTTAATTTCTGACATAATCAAAAAAAAAAATACATTACATGAGTATTAGAATGAACTTTGTCAAACTTTACAATCTGTTTGAAAATTAACTAAATGAAAGATAACCTCAACATTAAATAATTTAAATTTTTTATTTTATTCTGAATTATAACACTTCGCATGTCCAAAACGTTTATCGCCGTTAATACCTTGCATATATGTCATAAGTAAACCTAACTGAGTAAATTTTGATTTTCGTAACTTAAAGTCATAACTGTACCCTTTTGGTTACAAAATTTTGTCGTTTTATACATCATTTTAGTGTAAATTTTCTATCGATCTTCAGGTAGTAAGTTTTGAGGAATATAACTTCAACCTTTCATCAAGTACTACAAATGTTGCATATGATTTCTTAGAGGGAAAGGGTTGTAGAAGTCCAAAAACAAATGGAACCTTAGATAAATGTTCTCTGGAATGTCCCTGCTCTAGAAATGATGTACGATTTTTTTACGTCAGGTATTCGAAAATATAACTAATATTGCGAAGATACAATTCGCGGAAAATAAGGTTAATATATGGAATTTTTATTGGTCTGTCTGTAGAGATATAACCTAAACTTTGTTTTTCTTCCATCTTTTCTTGGAAGATCATCTCATATTGGGGTAGTATATGCAGTTTATCCTTATTCAAGGTTGTTGAGACATATTTGTTCAAATTTCTGGTTCTAGAAAGTAGACAATCCCCTGTTGCTTAGTAATCAAGGTCCCTGATTCTATAAACAAAAAAAAAATCCTTTTATAGAGCAGTAAGAGTGGAGAGCTAAATTTGGTGTGCAATTGGTCTTTTGATTCTTTTTGTGTATCAAAAGAAGACAATTTTCACCTACTCTTGAAATTTTGACCATTACTTCTCTCAGCAACAGTTGAAATTCCCACAACCACCTAGCAGCATTAACTTACAACTAGTTCGTTTACCTGAAATACGCTCTTCAAAAGTACTTGCTTCTCAGACTTTGTAATTCAAACGATATAAAATAAAATGGTTAAAAATATTATTATTTAAATAAATGTATTACGTTAAAATGTATTAATTAAAGGGTATGTAGTCATAAAAGAAAAAAGAGAATATTAAATAAAATTTGGCACTTTTCTTAGATATAGCTTACAAAATGCTATCCAAAAAACATAAAATGTTGTCGAAGAAATCTCCATCATTACATTGGGCAGTAGCAGAAGTGGAAGCAATGAAACTAGAAGTTGTAACTGTTGGTGATGAAGTTGGAGCAGATGTTGTAGTGGTAGTTGGAGATACATTATCATTATCTAGTGTGAAGATATTACCACCGGATGTATATACTTGGTTACCATCCCAAGTATTAGAGTACCCTGGAGCATTAACGGCATCTGGAACAGAAGATAAAATAGCTTCAATATCTTCTTCAGCATCAGTGTATGAAGCTTGAGCCATTGAGATTTCGTAGTTGTCCAAATCATACACAACATAAGCGTGAGTTAAAAATAAATCACCTAGAATCGCTGGAAGACTATCTTGAGCAACCATACCTAAGAAACAAACATTGCTACCACTAGACGATGTGATTAAGAAGGAACTCAATGGAGCTTCAATATGGAAACCACCAAAATCGAAAACCAATTGTCTGTCATCATCATCACTTGGACAAGTCATACCGTAAAGGCCTGATGATACATAACTGGCACCGATAGTATCAGCAACTAATGAAACATATGAAGTTGGGAAGTAAGTTAAGGTTGTACCTGAATCTAATAAAACAGGAATTGAGGACGTAGTAATAGTTTCCTTACCATTAGAGGATGAAACACCTAAACCTTGCAAGGTAATATCTAATGCAATTGGCTTAGAGAATCCTTCGTAAATATTGATAATTGGAACAGTGTATAGAGTACCTGTATATTTTGAACTATCGATACCTCCAAATAAAACAGAACCCTCCATAGCAGAGGCATCATCCAAATATAAGGAATAAGCAACTGTATCGATAGTGCCACTTGACTTTAGTACAACAGGTAAGTTTGGATAAGTATGAGAATCAGCGACAGAACCGGACGTACCAGTAGTAGTTTCCAAAGCTTCGAAACCAATACCTAACACACCGACGTTAGAATCGGTATTATCAGCAACAGCAAAAGATAGACCACTGATATCAACGCCGTCTAGGGATAGAACATCTTGACCCCAAGATCCTCTTGCAAAGGACTGATCACCATAAGTAATGCTGAATGAGGTTTCGTTATCGTGGAAAGTAGAAGATTCACCTTTGTTGAAAGTACCATATTTAGCACAATCAATTGTACCTGAAGAGGATTTACTTTCTGATTCATTAAGTGGGGATGTAATCTTGCTGGTAGAAATGCAGTATGGATTATTGTAACCAGTGACCCATAAATCTGAGGAACCTGTATCTAACAAAACAGTGACATCCTGCGAAGGTGTACCAATACTTAAATCAACAGAATAAAAAGTCTTTTGATTAGTAATAGCAAACTCATTACTAGATTCTCTCTTTACTAAAACTCTACCATCAGATGTTACAACCGACGAACTATCATTATGAGTTTTCCTAAATGGTAATTTTAATACTTTACCACGACTTAAATCCCTCTTGCTTGGGACAACTACTGCAGAAACAGTAGATAATAGATAAGCATATGTTACTAGCTTCATTGTTATGTATATGAATAATACTATTGTCTTTTTATATTGTTTATTGTTTTTTATTTGTATTTTAAAGCGAATATCAAAATATGTTTTTTCGTTGTTATCTCAGATAGACAAATAATAGACTTAAAAAAGGAAAATAAATATTTTAATTGAACTTTTAGGACTTAATTGGGGCCTCTTTTATATCATTTCAAGAACAGGGTTCCAATTGAAGAAATAAGAAATAATATTATCTTTGGAATTGCATCGTTATCTATTTTGGTAACATTACTAACATCTGCATTGTCCATCAAGTACCCGGCTTGTAAATCCAAATTATTCCTCTCTACCTCTCTAACACTCATTCACACACAGAAGTGACTGCATATATCCTATTTGATGGTAGAAGATGATATTTCCAGCATAGACATCACATATAGGTCCTATCATTTCTTTGTTTATCATAAGCTGTGCGGTTGAAAATTTGTTCTGTTTGGCATTCTATCGGTAACGTTCAAGCAATTTTTTTTGGTAGGAGAATATTCGTTCATATATTTTTTTTCGGTCGTCCTTCTGCTAAGGGTGCGCACAAATAAGCTGACTTACATAACGAAATCTCAGATCTTAAAATTCTCTCACGCCAAGTCAATTCCCCTGTAGAAAAAAGAAAGGATCCGAAACTCTGGGATTTCGAAAGAGAGAATCCCACGAGGTTGGATCCTTTCTATGCTCCTTAAATTTAGTCCCTCCTTGTTTTAGGAATTGGTATTACTCACTTTTCTCACACACATTTATATTAAAAATGAAAGATTATTAGGCAGCTACTTTCATTAGACAGACATTATTTTTCACAGAGAAAGAGTTGTGTGGATGAGCTCTTCGGCATCTTGAAGTAATATTTTACCGTAAGGGGTAAAGTCGATCACAATATTCCTTCATCCATATAATGGTATTTTGTATCTTCCTTGGTAACGGTTTTAAAAAAGCTTAGGGGTGCTTCCACTAATAAGTGGTGAATACTCATTCTATTCGAATAGTAATCCCCATAAAATATTTGGTTCTTTGGTGCTCGCCCCTTTTCAGAAAGGGTCACCTTTAGATTTTTGGAACAAAAAATGGGGCGATAATGGGGGCGAGGTTAGGAATTTTTAGCTCAAAATGGCCCCCCTAACATTTCTTGGGTGGGTTATCAGATATACTGGGGCTTTATTAGGCTTCCGAAGTACCTGATTTGAGTATAAAAATAATATGTGTACATTTAATCTAAAAATCAGTCCTCGTTGCTTAAATAACAGACTAATAACTTAACATTTTAGTGGGAAGTGTAGTGTGTCTTTATTTCTTTTTTTGTTATCTAAATACCAGATAGAATTATGTGTCTTAAGTTGATATTTTTGGAAAATCAGTCTTCAAACGTTCATCCATATATGTCTTATTATATTTTGGCTTAATACAATTAAATGAGGCTACTAAAATATAAATATTTTTTTCTCACTTGTTCCCACATTAATATACAGAATTATACAGCATTTTTTGATAAGAATCAATATTGCTCCTTGAGAGGGTTAATACTTCTGAGAAAAAGCTGAGTTATAATCCAATTGCAAATTTATGAATCTGTACCTTGTTCAGCCACAACATATTAGTTTACCAATATAGAGCATAAATGACACAAATAAGACTAAACGTAGTTAACAAGAGGGATGCTTCTTAGTTCAGATGTAAGGATTTAACATATGATAATACACCAACTTAGGTAAACAATGCCCTGATACCACTAAATTAGGGTTTTGAGAGAGGGCCCAACTCATTTTTGGGATACTTGGGGCGAGCGGGCGAGTATTTTAATTTCTACTCCCCCCTTGCCTATTGCTTTGTTAATTTAGTAAACATTTCCTCGAGGTTTGACCATTTGGCATGACTATTACCTTATCAGACGTTTGTACACGGTGTATGGGTCTTGCATAACATAATCCATCCTTGTGGCCTAGAATTTGAGGATAATATCTTGTAAGGTAGTACTTTCTATTGAAAGTTCATGGTCGAACTGAGCAACCATTTTTATTACTAATCTCGACATGGCATCTTAGTTTACGGTTGAACTTCAAAAAAGATTAACCAATTATATTATAAATATACTTAGTTAAATTAAGGGGTTTAGTATTGGGTTTCTTTTACAAGAAATACTCTGGGTACTTTTAGGGTATGAGATATAGGCTTGATGAAATAAAACTTCCCTATGGGTAATGTAAACATTACTGACCTTGACATCATAGCAATATGAAACATTTTCCTTCCTATTCTAACAATTCAATTCATATAGCGTTATTGTTCTTGACATAAGACACCCTTAATTTTTTGTTACATGGAATCTGTTTAGAACCATACTCATGTAAGTAAAGTGTTACGGTGAGAGTTGAAAGTATCTTCAATTTAGTTTTATCGGTTACTTGCCTACTGGAGGACCTTTGAAGTGATAAAATTGATGAGATTGAGGTGAAGGTCACCTTTGACATGTATCGAATCTTACTTTTGAGTTAGGTGTGAAGAAAAAAATATTCTCTTCACCCCAGTTTGTTTTAAGTATTATATTAGGTTAGAAATAAATTCATAATAGCTTAAATGTAATACTATGGCAAATAGTAATGTAGTATGAATCTTTGAATGTTCTGATTTTGAGATTAACTCTAAAATGGAGCCTATCTCTAGTTGTTGTTTTTTCCACTGAAATAGAAATATATCGTTCTTGTAATAACTTTCTGCTTTAAGTTGGCGTGTTAATCAGAGACTTTTACAAGATGATCTTAACTACACACTATTACTTTAGCGTACAGTAATAGATAATTTATATCAAGGAGCAGATTTGATTGATTATTGATGGTAGTTCAAATGTAAAGAAGTGAGGTAGCGAATAACGACACGTTTAGAGGTTAACTAATATATAACTGCCAACCTTGTTTTTGTTTTTATGAGGTTATTCTTCGAATCATGTAGGCAGTAATATAATCTGGTTGGAACTATTTAACAGTTGGTTCGTGAAGTCCTCTCTCTGTGTTCATTGTATAGCAGCTATGTTACCAGAACAATGGAACTAATAAAATATAAGAAATTTATAGAATAAAAATGATCCAAATTATTTGTATGATTGAATATATATATATGTATGTATGTTACCTGAAATGAGTAGATAAATTTGTAAGTTTATATATTTCAGTCGCTATGCCATTCTGATAATACAATTTTCCCGAAAAACCACAGATAGCATTCTTCATGAATATATGTAAGTCGAATAATTTTTAGATGATTAAATGTAAGCTATCATTACATGTAGAATATATATTCAGTTGAAAAGTACTTCCCTCTAACGATCACACGATAGTTTTTGAAAATTTCTTTTGATAAAATTAGCGTAGTGAACTCTAGTTCTCAACTGCTCTCTTGTTAATAGCCAGTATAAGTGTATTATGTCACATGTAACATGTCATAAATTTCCAGGTATCTGATTCAAATTCTTTTATTTATCTCTGAAGTTCAAATCTGTTTACTCTCAATACTGACAGTAATTTTCTCACTTAGTACGAAATGTTTAAGACTAATTGCTTTTCAGTTTACCTTCACTCAAAAATTGAAGACTTTCTCGGTCTCGGTCTAACTTGCTTGGTAATTGGCTATGTATGAAGAAGAAAGATGATTTCAACGTTTCTTCAAACATAAAAACTGTTAATTCCTAAAAGTAATAAACTTTAGTGGTGACCGTTTATCGTTTACGAATTATCTGTTTAACAAAAACATAACATTTTAAACATCTCTATATTAACTCATCTATTTTGAAACAACATGGCTCATAGGGCGTTTGTACAAGTTATCATCACCGGTGCACAAGTGTTTGGAAGAGCATTTGGAGAAGCTTATAGACAGGCTGCTTCACAATCTGTGAAACAAGGTGCCACAGAGACTACTAGGGGTCGTGGACGTTCTGCAAAAGAGGAATATGGTGGTATTACACTGGATGAGAGTTGTAAGATTTTAAATATTGAACCATCTAAAGCTAAGGATTATTTAAATCTAGATAAAGTGAACAGCAGATTTGATTACTTGTTCAACATTAATGATAAGGAGAAGGGTGGGAGTTTTTATTTGCAAAGTAAGATATATAGAGCTGCTGAGAGGTTGAAATGGGAGATTAAAGAAAGAGAGAAAGAAGCTAATATAGAAAAAGAAGAAGCATCAGCATCAACTTCACCTCCACCACATGAAGGTTCGAAGGACAATAATAAATCTTAATAAGAATTTCAATACGATGGTTTAGACAATACCTGTGAAAGATATCCATCCCTTCCCATTAAATCAGCATTTCAATAGAAGAAAACATAATTCAATTCAGACGTGAGCGTATGTAACATAACATGTAAGTAGAGTCAATACCAATATATTAACATATAATCTAACGTCAAACAGTAGCAAGAATATTCATATACAAACATATCATGATAATATGATTTACAAAATAAATAAATAAAAAATGTATTATCTTGAGGAAGCGGTACAGTAGAATACAACAGGTTATGGCGTTATACCATCTCCTAAAATGTAAGCATACAACTTATCCCCCATCGATGTCCATCCCCGAAGAGATGTCTCGAGAGGAGGGACCTTCCTCAACACATAAACGTTGCTCTAAGAAACCGGAAACGAAGTGAAGCTTGTGCCCAGCCTGTTTGGGGCTAGTCAAGCTACACTCAGCTATGGGTTAAAAAATGATCAAATTAGACCTCGATCCAGTATTAACTAGTGCCGCACAGTGAACTCGCAAGAGTTCCCTGTACAACATTGGGAGATCGAGAGAGAAAAATGATATAAGGTTTCTATAATGTAATTGTAATTAATATTATCTTGAGATAGTATTAACCACTACTGATGATTGGTTTTTTTGTAAAGGGAATAAAGAATATTTTAAAAAGTGAATATAACAAATTGACATATTTCAAATATAACAGTTGTCTCGTTGCTTTATATACTTTTCACTTTTGCCATGTAGAATTTTTCGCTGATAGAGGAAAAAAAATTTTCAGCGCTGCCTCAGTTACCCGCATAGTCATTTATGACGTTACTTGCAAACCAATTAGGTCATCGAGATAATGAGTCCTTCATAATATGAATGACAGCAATACGAGATCGTTTATAAAAATAATTAGATTATTATTAATTTTTATAGATATATATATAAAGGGTTACAGATATTGGAATATGAGTACATTGGGATAAGTCATAGAGTATAGTAATGCATAAAAAGAAAATAAATGAGTAAGTAAGTATGTCATTACTACTATTGTTTATTATTATTTGTCATTATCATTAGTATTAGGAATATGTTTTTGTTTAAACAGTCAGAAAATGAAATATAAATATGTGTTTAAGTCCTATACCAAAATTAATCGATAACTAAGATATTAGGAGGTTGACATTACTTTATATTGTTCTTATTGTTGTTGTTTGCTAAAAATTGGTAAAAATTGGCCCATAATCAACAATGGGATGTTGAAGTTGTCCCTGACAACAGTCCAACATGAGGCACAGTTTAATTTGGCGTTGTTTTTCAGAATTAATGTGCAACGACCAAAATTAGTTTTGTTTAAAAGTGTCTCTGGAGATTCGATGTTTGAATCCCCAAATGCCAGCACTTTTTCAAATTTGTTAAAATAATCTAGGATACTTTCATTATCCCAAAATTCAAAGATAAACCTATTGGTAGAAAAGACTTCGGATTTGGTGAAACCAGTTAAGGATAAGAACTCGTTACTAGTGAAACATAGCTCACCAGTACGTCTCCAAACGGCCATTGGTGTACAATTGACTAGAGTTGCGGTGTCTTCCATTTGAAATAAAAGTCGTTGCAACATAATCTCTTGGAAGACTAAATCCTCTGGAATCATACTAGAACTTAGGCTTGTAAATCTTGGGGCATAGTTATCCATGATAGATTTGATTAAAGTTGGTAATAATCTTTGGTCAGCCTCTATAGAAAATTTATCTTGTAAAATGTTCTTCATTTGAGCATACGCAAGTTGATAATTATGAGGTTTGATCAAATCCTGATTGGTATAGAGGTCCTTCACAGAAGGAAACCCTTTACGAAATTGAAGAGGTGAAATATTGGACTCGCCATTGTTATTATTGATGATGTTATTATTATTCATCGATTCAGTAATGATTGAAGGTTCACATAGTGAATCGAATTGATCCCTTTGATCTTCCTCCTTAAGGAAATCTTTTTCATCAATTGGTGAGAAATCGTTCAACGATGAATCACTCAACATATCTAATGAAATGAAAGGCTTAGAGAAAACAGTGTCGGTACTAGGGATACTTCCATTCCTGTCAGAATTAGAGTTGGAGTTGGATATTGAGTTCGTTACACTATAATCGGTGAATGCTCTACCTAATAATGACTCATCGGTATTACTCACCTTGCCTTTTTTTAACTGAATCGAAGCTACATCTGGTTCCTGAAGGCATTGTGGGTCATCCAAAAATTCCTTCATTTTCATATATTCCTCATTAGCCCACATACTATCGAAGTCCTGATCTGGACTGAAAACTGTCTCTTGACCTGAGAGGTCGGTCTCAAAATAGGTCTCTTTCTTTATAACGGTCATTACATCGTCCATAATATCAGTAGTAGAGACTTCATAGTCTGTAGAGGGACTTTTAATTTCCCTAGGACTGTTTGCCTTCCGTTTCTTCCGGATGTTGTCTGTGCAAGAAGATGTAATGTTCCTCTTCACACAATTTTTGCAAGGTCTGCTAACATCACATTGGATATGTTTTTCGTGACAGAAAACACAGGCCTTTTGAATAGACCTTCTGTGTTTCTTGAGTTCTGGGGGTAGACGTTTTGTCATTTTTGAATAACCAGTCAATGGTCTTGTAAAAATATATTTTTCTTCTTTTATTTAAAATAAAAAATTAAAAAAATATCTTGAGTATAAAATACCAGATTTTAAAAATAGATGTGTTTTTGAGAGAACTTGCTCTTAGATTTCGTTTCTAATTCAATAAAGAACTGAAATGAAATATAAAAATAAAAAAAAAAGAATAATAAAAAGGATCAACCTCTTATTTTTCTAATAGTTTAGATGTATGTTATTAAATATACAAAAATTTGGTAAAGTAATCTCCTGCTAAAAGTTGTGTGTATTGGACTTAAGTTAATGAAAAAAATGAAAAAACATTACAAAGAGAGATAAGAAACAAAAAAGAGAAAAAAGAAAAAAAGCCCTTTAAAGAAAGCATGTCCATCTCTTAAATAAGAAACTTTATATATATATATAAATAATTTTGCTGCATGTTGAAGCCAACCTTATAGCTCTATGCCCGCTTTATCTAAGATAGTTGACTTCGCAGACGTCAAATAAGTTCATAAATTATGTATTTATTTATCTGGTGCATATACCAATTCCCAGAAAGCTTGTGGCTAATAGGACCCTCCAACAACAACAATGTCTGCAAATGGCTGAACTGGCTAGATAAGAACGAAGAAACCATTATCATAAGCAACCAGAAGAAGAAGAAATTGTTTCATAAAGCATTATTAGCTAAACAAACTCTCTTGTTTGGGCCAATTAGATAACGCCAATGACTTAAGCTACTGCTCGAAGACAATACGCACACAAACAAACAACGAAAAAAGTGATTTACAGCGAAAACTCCGGAGAGCTTAAAAAAAGAAGAAAAAGAAGACGTGGGTAGGGAAGCCCTAATTTTAGGTCTTGTAGGTCACGTGCAATTTCTAATAAGTTTTCAACAAGATCGATCTATCAAGGAAACCAGAGAGCAATCTTATAACCCTGAGGAGTTCGACTGGGAGGACCAGGACTTCATTAAAACTGAAGAAGGTTGAACAGTTGCGTTGAAATTTGCTTTGTATATGTTGACAATCATTAGATATATACCGAACCAAAAATAACTAAATAATGGGTTTTGCCGTCAGAGTTCTTCTACAGTTTGTAAGACGACATAGTACCCTTGAAAAGATTCGTAACATTGGGATTATTGCTCATATCGATGCTGGTAAAACGACTACCACAGAGCGTATGTTATACTACGCTGGTAAGACCAACAGGATAGGTAATGTGGATCACGGGGATACAATTACGGATTTTCTACCTCAGGAAAGGTCAAGAGGTATTACTATTCAAAGTGCAGCCATTTCGTTTGATTGGCGAAATAGAGGTAAGATTAATTTAATAGATACACCAGGGCATGCAGATTTCAGTTTTGAAGTCATTAGAGCTTTGAAAGTGTTGGATGGTTGTGTCACCATATTTGATGCTGTAGCGGGTGTCGAAGCACAGACTGAAAAGGTTTGGAAAATGTCTCAAAAGATACCGAAGATATGTTTCATTAATAAGATGGATAGAGAAGGGGCAGGTTTTAGTAGAACGGTGAAAGAAATCATTATGAAATTGAATACAAGGGTAGCATTAGTAAATATTCCATATTTTTCACTGGATCCTCAAACTAAAGAACAAACTTTTGAAGGGGTCATAGATGTAATCAATAAAAAACTAATAAAATGGAATATGGATGATCCGGATAGTGTTAATGTTGTAGATATTGATCCAATTAAAGATTCAACTCTGTATAATCAATTGTTTAAAGCAAGAGAGTCTCTTATAGAGACCCTAAGTGAATTTGATGATAATTTAGTGGAAATATTCCTTGAGGATGCTAATGGTGACTATTTAGAGTTATCATCCTCCGTGATAAATAAAACTTTGAGAAATTTAACTTTGAACAACGATATTGCGCCAATTTTATGTGGTGCATCTTTTAAAAATATTGGTGTACAACCATTATTAGATGCAGTGGTCGATTATTTGCCCTCCCCTATTGAAACTAGACTTCCAGATATCAATAAAAAAGACTATGTCATGAAATTTGATCATTCCAAGGGACTTATGATAAATAATAATGGTTCGATGAGTGTTTCCTTGGCATTTAAAGTTATCACTGACCCTATTAGAGGTTTAATGGTTTTTGTAAGGGTCTATTCAGGTACCCTTAAGAATGGTTACAACGTATTTAATACAACCACCAAAAGGCCATTCAAAATAGGTAAATTAGTTAGAATGAATGCAGATGTTCCAGAAGAGATTAATCACTTAAACACTGGTGAGATCGGTGTCTTAACAGGTAGTTCTATCAATGGCAACGTCTCTACAGGTGATACTATAATATCTCACTCGATAAAAAAGGATGGATTAAAATCTTTTAAAAAAAATGAAGAATTAACTTTGAAAATCAATCCTATAGATGTTCCAGAACCGGTTTTTACAGTTACTGTGGAACCAAAATCCCTAGGTAATAAAGATTCTATGGAAAAAGCTTTGAAGAGGCTTGTGATTGAAGACCCAAGTTTACGGGTTACTGTGGATGAAGAGACAGGGCAGACTTTATTAAGTGGTATGGGTGAACTACATTTGGAAATAGCTGGAGATAAATTGGTTAATACACTTGGTGCCCAAGTTGAATTAGGAAAAGTTACAGTGTCATACAAGGAAATTATTAATGAAACTACTTCTGTGGAAGATTATTCTGATGAAATTGGCTATAAGTTTTCAATTTCGTTGGAACCGTTGGATAGCTCAGTAAATGACATTTCCAACAAATCAAATAATGAAACATGGTATCCATTGGGTAGTGATAATAATTACTTGATAATGGAAAAAAGTCATAAATATGATCTGGAAAGAGAATGGCTTTTACAATTAACGTATGATTCAATTGTTAATTCAATTATATCTAGTTCAATTGTAGCGTTCCAAAAAGGTGGGAAAATATCAAATTTCCCTTTACATTCATGTGCTGTACGTGTTAATGGCAATTGGGAGGTACCTCTGGATGTTGAAAAACCAAACGAGATTCTTGTAATTACAAGAAACATGATAACTAAAAGTTTGAACAAACTGGCCACTAGTCAGTATTCTATGTTACAACCGATAATGAGTTTGAATGTAGATGTTAAGCCAAGTGATATGGGTGTAGTTGTTCGTGATTTAACGAGTGATCATGATGCTGTTATCTTGTCTATTGATGATAGGGATAGTACCGAAAAATCAGAGGACAATTTATTTTTTAATAAGATTGCGGAAAAGCAATATGTACCAGATGATGTTACTTTGAATTTGATGAAAACTTCAAATGTAAATGAAAGTTCAAAGCATGTCAAAGCTGAAGCTCCTTTGAGAAAGATGATTTCTTATAACAAGAAACTGAGAAGTCTGACTCAAGGGAGAGGCGATTTCCAGATGTATTTTGAGAAAATGGAAAGGGTTACCCCAGATCATCTGAAGGAAATCGTTGATGATTTATGATAAAATCAATTGCATGTATATATACTAAATAAAAAGGAAATTATAACTTTAAGTGCATTATTTATTTTTTTGTTTACGTTTTCCCGGATATTTTATCTCTTTTATTTTATTTTTTTTTTTGTTTGGAATTAGTTGAGGAAGAGCTAAATATAAAGATTACAAATGAACAAACTTCAACATGAGGAAAACACAAAATAAATATACACAGCATCACCTAAAACCATTATTAATACGATATTAGATAGCTATGTAGTTTAAATAAACCCAATGAGTTTAAATTTTTACTTCAAAGAGTTCAATTGAATGCTACATTATAAGAGCTATACTTCAACAATTTTTTCTATTGTACATTATAATACATATTGGTTAATATCTATGAATATCTTGTTTTCGTATGCTAAAAAGGTTACATATAAATATATTTATCTATTTGAAACGGGATCGATAGAGAAATGCCTGTAAATTAGTAGGTTTAGAAAACCTTGTCATAATCAACCATAGTAAATCTGTATCTGATATCACCTTTATCCATTCTAGCAAAGACTTCACCAAGAGAGTCTTCACCCATTGGGACTTTTTCAACCCATGGCTTGATATCTTTATCTTTAGCTAATTGCAATAATTGTTTAATTTCTTTGACTGAACCAATACCAGAGTTAGAAATAGAAACACCTAATAGACCAAATGGACTCATAGTCAATTTTTCTGAGGCTTCTGGAACGGCAATTGAAACGATCTTACCACCGACCTTCATTGTCTTTGGTAGAGCATCGAAATCAATGTCAGTCAAGGAACCAGCACAGATCACAACTAGATCTAAAGTATCATCGTATTTAGTAGCCCAATCAGGTTCTTCCTTAGTGGCAATGTAATGATCGGCACCTAATTTGAAAGCGTCATCTTTCTTAGCGTTAGATCTAGAGATAGCATAGACTTCAGCACCCATGGCTTTGGCCAGCATGACACCCATGTGACCGATACCACCAATACCCATAATACCAACCTTCTTACCTGGACCACAGCCATTACGTAACAATGGTGAGTAAACGGTAATACCACCGCATAACAAAGGTGCAATTGTAGCAGAGTCTAAACCTTCTGGAATTGGAACGGCAAAATGTTCGTGTAGTCTAACATAGTTACCAAAACCACCTTTACTGCTGTAACCGTCTGCGTAAGGAGCACCAATGGTCCAAACACCCTTTCTACAGTATTGTTCGTTGTCGGACTTACAACGTTCACATTCAAGACAAGCAAATGCTTGAGCACCAACACCTACACGGTCACCAACTTTAAGACCGGTGTTACATTTTGGGCCTAGTTTGACAACAGTACCGACAACTTCATGTCCCATTACTGTTGGTTTAACGGATTCACCCCAAAACCCACAAGCCATGTGATGGTCACTACCACAGACACCACAACATTCAACTTTCAAATCGATATCGTAATCACCGAAAACCTTTGGTTCGAAATCGACCTTCTTTGGATGTTTGTACTCTTTGTTATCAAGGATTGCAATACCTGAAAAAGTTTCTGGATAGGCCATTTTTTGTTATATTCTTTTTTTATTTTAATTTGATGTAAATCTTTAAAAGTAAGGCTTCCTAATTTTCTAGGATTGGGTTAGAAAGAAAGATGTTCTTATTCTTATTATTGTTATTGTGTTAGATAAAAGTAAATAAAATTAGGAAATACAATTAACTAAGCTCAATTAAAAATATTCATGCTCCTTTTATAGATTTTATTTTGTTCTCAAATCTACTGACTTTTTTACAAAGTAAGGGGAAATGAGCTTTAACCAGAAAACAATAATTTGAAGAAGATCTGCACGAAGTTGAAAATATTTGTTATTAGTTCAGCAAGCACCGAAGAATTTGGTAAATCGAAAACGCACTCGGAGAATTCGTTTATCTTTTTCGTTCTGTGGTTCGGCCGAGGAGCGAGCTCCTTTCTTATTTTGCTGTTATGTCTGGGTGGAGCCGACCAAGGCGGGGGGGGGGGGCGTGGCTGTGCTGGTTGAGAATAAATTTGGGCCGAGATGTTGATTGTCTCTCTTTATTGAAAATATTATTCGGCCGAAGACGTTTGATCATTTAAAATTTTTTATTTTCGGCCGGCTTTACTATTGTTGTCTCTGTTTTATTTCCGACATTTGAGCACTTGCAGTCGGCTCGGAAATATAAAACTATTGAAGGAACCTAATCATCAAATGGAGAGACGATATTCGACATCACTTGGATGGAAATTACTACCCAGTTATCAAAAGAACAATGGAGTAGCTAATTAATATCATTATCAATGGATGTTTTGCAGCGGTGTTATAATATCAGAAACTGTTCAGCTTGATGAGGTTATTATGACCAGACTGTAATTATGTCAATAATAATCACTTATATATTTGAAGCAATGATTACAAATAGGTTAATTTACTTGACAGAAATTATGTGGAATTGAGATATCTAAAATGTCCAAATAAGAATGAAGAATTACGTAATAATTA